TACCTTGTACACTCATATATAGATGTATCGTACAAACCAGTTTACGTTTTAGTTCCTCTACTTGTATTATACAATAAAGGTCATGGAATTTGCAATGATAGCTTATGCATTCAGAGGAAACCTTTGTCTTTGAGACTCTGGACCGTTTCCTTCACCGCATCTTCAGCCGGAGCGAAAACCACCCCGAGCTTCATCAATCTCTTAGCCGCATCATGACACGGCGTAAGCCCGGGTTGAGTTCTTCCATCAAACTTGTGAACAGAAAACTCAGGGAAGAGTTTGGACACAAGAGCAGCAAACTCACTGAACTGATAAATCCCATTAGTGCATAGAAACCGACCAGAAGCTTCAGGTGTTTCGAATAGCAGCACGTGACTTTTAGCGACATCTCTCACGTGCACTACACCGAGCCAGTGATGCTCTTGTGTCTCGGTCGAGCCTTGTAAGAGCTGTAACAAAACCGCGCAGCTTGCGTTTAGGTTCGGTTGCAGTAGCGGTCCGAGACATGTTGATGGATGGATGGTCACAATGTTAGTTGCATGCTTCTCTGAAAATTCCCAAGCTGCTTTCTCAGCTAATGTCTTCGAAATTGGATACCATTTCTACAATCCAAATTATAAACACAAATGGTTACAAATATACAAATTTCATTTTGAGATCATTTTTGTTATAAAATTCAAATGTTTTGAACCTGCATCGATTTGCAAAAATCGAGGTCGGTCCACGACGATTCGTCGACGGTTTTGCCTTCCGGCCAATTAGGGTTTGGAACCAAGGAGGAGATAGATGACGTGATCACCACGCGTCTCACATTGAACCTCTTAGCTGCTTCCAATACGTTAACCGTTCCCTTAACCGCCGGTTCGACCAGCTCCTTCTCTGGATTAACCGGTGGATCTAACGTACAAGGTGAAGCCACGTGGAACACTCCTGCGCATCCATCTATGGCTCTGGATATTGCGTCGGAGTCTAAGAGATCGGCTTCGAAGATCTTGATCTCGGCGTCGTCGGATCTTGGTAGTTTCAGGAGATGGGTCGGGTCGGATCCTGGGTAAATCGAAGCGTGGATATTGGTATATCCTTTCTCGAGTAAAGTTCGGATTATCCAGGATCCGATGAAACCGTTGGCTCCGGTTACACACACTGTCTCCTTCGCCATTGATGAGTTAAATACGAGCTCACAGAGATTTTAATTATTTTATCTCTTTCTTACTTTTGGTTTGCATTTTAAGTGGGGATCAAGCTTCGTATTTTTAAATAATTTTAGATTTTGATTTTCGGATTAAAAAGTTGGGTATTTTGGTTTTTTCTCAAGATAGGAAAAAAACACTTTTTCAGTAAAAAAGGATTCTTTTTCTTTACTCGAAAATAAAATTTTTTAAAAAAGAAGAGAGAAAAGAAAATCGATTTTTAAAAAAAAATAAAGACAATTAAAAAAATAAAGATAATTACAAAAAATTATTTTTTAATATATCTAATTTTAAAAATGCTACTATAAATTGTTTATTTTCAAAATTGCAGTGCAATGATTCTAACTCTACAAAAAAAACATAAAAACAGTCGAATAATTTGTTTTTTAACTATTGAATCACCACTAATTCACCACCACCAATGTTAGTCGTAATACATACGTATTTATCGGCTAAAATCAAA